GAATACTTATTTATATAGACTTCATATTTTCTTTGCTTTATACAGGTTTTCAAAGCACAAACTAATTTATTATCTGAAACCGTCCAAAAATGGCTGGGTCGTCTGGGACGCAAAGGCAGCTTTTTCCACCTTTGTCACATTTTGTAATACTTGCGTTGTTTTATTTTTGTAATATCCATAACTTTCTCATACAGTTTTTTTTTTCTAAGGAGACTCTGCCTCCCTTGCCTTGACTGATGGCAGAAGCCGTACAACACAAACATCAGAAATTCATTCATCTTAAATTATGATCCTTGCGGAAGTTTGAGGTTATGTAACTTTTGGCAGGTTATTTTACATTCATTATTCAAACTAATAAAGTGATGAATGGAAATTTGGCAGTTCAATTAAGTATATAATTTTTGTAATAGCTACAAAAATGAAAATGGGAATTTTTTTTTCTAAAGAGACTCTGCCTCCCTTGCCTTGACTGATGGCAGAAGCCGTACAACACAAACATCAGAAATTCATTCATCTTAAATTATGATCCTTTCGGAAGTTTGAGGTTATGTAACTTTTGGCAGGTTATTTTACATTCATTATTCAAACTAATAAAGTGATGAATGGAAATTTGGCAGTTCAATTAAGTATATAATTTTTGTAATAGCTACAAAAATGAAAATGGGAATGTGGGATCACCGAGAAATGAAATGTTTTTTATTACAATTGTATAACTACGATTTTACTACAAATAACATGCTTAAACTATGGTGAGTGTAGCTAAATGTTTTAACTGTAATAACCTTTTTTATTTGTTTCAAAACCATGTATAATTTTCCTAAGTTTTTTTGCAAATAATTTTTACTATTATTTTATAATGAAAAACAGTATTAATATATTTATAATATTTATAGAAAGCATTTAATGTTAGAAAAGATAATTTATGCATGTACTGTAAATGCTCTTCAAGTTTGGGGCATTAATTGTAACAGTATATACACCAAATATTTTGACCATATTTTCTTCTATCACAGCAGGAAAACATTTTTTGAGAGACACCAGGACTGCAGCTGACTGGTGCGATAACAGAAAATGAGATGGTTTTATATATAAAACCATTTTATATAATTTTTTTTATCTCACAGATTTTTTATACATGTTTTGCACAGAACTTATGGATAAAAACAAGTGGGCTACTGTCGCCATATTTGAGTAAGAATTTTTCATCCTTCAGGATCCAAGTTCACATACAGTTCACAGGAAAGGATTAATAAAGAGTGAACAAAAGCTGAACAGTCTCCTACAGCCTTGCCTATTTTCCGCAAATTTATTCACAGACTCATGTATTCATATTGTAATACAATGACTGACATGAATACTTATTTATATAGACTTCATATTTTCTTTGCTTTATACAGGTTTTCAAAGCACAAACTAATTTATTATCTGAAACCGTCCAAAAATGGCTGGGTCGTCTGGGACGCAAAGGCAGCTTTTTCCACCTTTTGACCACGATATGTCGTTAGTGTTCACCGTCTTGAAAAGCTTCGAGTAATGAACCTTTTTACGATACAGTTGAGGGGAAAGCCTTGGTGCTTAGCAAAGCTTCATTTTTGAGAGAGAACAAGCGCAAATTCTGGCAGCGGCAGGTTGCAGCACCACTTCCGGTGGCATCCCCAGCTTGCCACTAGTCGTTTCTGGCAGCTCCCATGAACTCTCGGTCACGGTCTTTCTAGCCGTTACTGCTGTTTGCTTGGTAAAACTCTGTATACTATATACAGGGGTGTAGCCATAGTATATACACCAAATATTTTGACCATATTTTCTTCTTTCACAGCAGGAAAACATTTTTTGAGAGACACCAGGACTGCAGCTGACTGGTGCGATAACAGAAAATGAGATGGTTTTATATATAAAACCATTTTATATAATTTTTTTTTTCTCACAGATTTTTTATACATGTTTTGCACAGAACTTATGGATAAAAACAAGTGGGCTACTGTCGCCATATTTGAGTAAGAATTTTTCATCCTTCAGGATCCAAGTTCACATACAGTTCACAGGAAAGGATTAATAAAGAGTGAACAAAAGCTGAACAGTCTCCATAAAAGTTACCTTTTTTGCCATCTAGTCCAGCATCAGAAAGTCACAATCATTGTCAGCCTCTGCTGTTTGTACTGTAAAAACTATAGTACTTGATTGTCCTTTTTAGAATATATATATATAGTGTATATGTTAAATAAATAAAACAAACATGAATTGAAAAGTACATTACACAATGGGCTTCATTTTTGGAAACCTTGTTTGGTTATCATTTATGATGAAGCAGCACAGGACAGAAGGAACATCAAGGAAAAGTAAGTAATAAAATAGTTATTTCTCTGAAATGTCACTTTTGACAGTGTTGTAAATTATTAGTGAAGTTCACAGATCCAATTGTTGTGACAATTTTGGCATATTTTGGGTCAATTGGAGGCTGTAATCCACACCTAAAGGGGCAGATCTTCAAAGAGACGCATTGAACTAGCCTATTGGTAATGGTAACGCTGCAATGTACAGAATCAAAAAATCTAGTCCAGCATCAGAAAGTCATAATCATTGTCAGCCTCTGCTGTTTGTATTGTAAAAACTATAGTACTTGATTGTCTTTTTAGAATATATAGTGTATATGTTAAATAAATTAAACAATTAAACATTAATTGAAAAGTGCATTACACAATGGGCTTCGTTTTCGGAAACCTTGTTTGGTTATCATTTATGATGAAGCAGCACAGGACAGAAGGAACATCAAGGAAAAGTAAGTAATAAAATAGTTATTTCTCTGAAATGTCACTTTTGACAGTGTTGTAAATTATTAGTGAAGTTCACAGATCCAATTGTTGTGACAATTTTGGCATATTTTGGGTCAATTGGAGGCTGTAATCCACACCTAAAGGGGCAGATCTTCAAAGAGACACATTGAACTAGCCTATTATTAATGGTAACACTGCGATGTTCAGAATCAAAAATTACTTGTTCAGTTCATTTTCCTGCTCATTTTATAAAATTTTAGGAAAAATCCAATAGCCTACATTTTTTTTAATGTTCCGAAATTAATATCACATTAATCGTGTGTGATTTTCTTATTTTCTTCCTTTTGGCTGAGGGTACTAAAGCAGTTCAGAGAACGAAAAGTACATTTACCCTTATCGTTCGGATTTTCACTGATTTTTTTATGCCGTTCCTTTATTCAGAAATAAATGTAAAAATTACCAAGCAGTTCTGAAAACCAATGCCTAGTCTAAAAAATTTAACTAATAAAAAAGAATGGTGTACAATTGCACATGTTTCTTAGGCCTGTTTCTTGATAGAAATGTAAAATTTAACTAATAAAAAAAGCAATACGTGAACTGAAGTCACAGCATTGGAGTTTACGAGACAACTTTGTTGTTATGAGCAGTGCACTTTACATTTAGACCAACTCCTGGCAAGAACTCTGGCAGCTGATACATAAAAATGTATAATAATACAATAGTGGGAACTTTGCATCATCATTTAAAAAAAACACCACCGCACGCCACTGAGAACAGTGTAGTTTTTACCGAGCAAACAGCAGAAATGGCGAGAAAAACCATGGCAGCTGCCAGAAACTACTAGTGGCAGCTGTCACCCGACCTGCCGCTGCCAGAGAGAGCGCCAGTCCCTGCTGTCATTTCTCCATCACTAATTACAGGTGTGCATCTTGACACAAAACAATGACACTGACATATTTTAAGATATATGTCAGAGCAAGATATTTTCAGTTGAGACTAGCTTAAGCCTGGTCTGTGAAACCGTGGGAAAGAGTACCGTTTTTCTGCAGATATCAACATGAACATTTAATAATCATTTTATACCAGTTCAGTAATAAGTGACTTACATTTTAGACATAATATTGCTTGTTTTTGCCAATGAAACAGAATCGGTTGAATCTCAATCTTTAATTTCACATTTCGACTATTTTTTCAAGTTTTAAATTAATTTCAAATATCAATATTCAACGTTTTATGTTAAAAACAAATCATTAGGCCTATGTATGCATCTGTAAATGCGGGTTAAATGCATCCATGTCCCCTCTGAGATACATTAAACGGTGTAAATACATCTAAATGCTATTTCAGATGCAGTTTCCAGAAATGTTTTCTTATGTTGGAATGAAAGACACTAAGTACCGGATTGAAGTGCTTCTTATTCTTACCCAAAAATACAACATGGAAAAAAAAGAGAGTAAAAACTGAACATGCTACTCAAGCTGTTTATGAACATTTTTTATATACATTTCATTCTTTTCCATTTTGCATTTACTTGTACTTTTAATTTCAATACTTAAGTACGTTTAAGATAAAAAAAAAATACTTTTCGTACTTAAGTACAATAAATATCACATACTTTAATACTTTTACTCAAGTAAACGGTGACTTCAACTTCTACCAGAGTCGTTTTCTGGTGAGATATCTGTACTTGTACTTGAGTATGGCTTTCAGGTACTTTATACACCACTGCAAATGAGTGAAATTACATTCAGTTTACGTTACTTTCAAATCGTCAAGGAGTTCGTTCGCTGACGAACCGATATGTTTCGAAACAACATTTTAAAAGAGTATTTCTTTGTTCCAAACATTTGACTCTTACCATCCATAGTCTCCCGGACAGCATTCATGTTTGCGTTCGCGGGACTGGCCATGATGCTATCGTGCTAAAGCTATTTCATCATTAATTGAATAATTCACACAGATGACCGTGACACGTCTATTCCTGTTAGTCCCTGGTGTCCTTCAACTATTTGCGAATTAAAAACCGGGCGACGTCACAAATCCTGCATTAAACAATATCCATAAACTGCGTTTTGTTCACACCTCGCGCTTTTTGCTGTGGTAATCCTGTCAATAAAGTTTCGGTCGCGCGAAAGGAAGTTACGTCGAGACGGCAGGTCGGTCGTTCCCGTCACCTGATTGGTTGTTTCGCATGTTCTGCTGAATTGTGATTGGCTAGCACCTCTTGAGCGAAAATTAAATCAGACGTTAGAGCCATTCAGAGATCTCTCTTGCGCTTGTTTGAGTTTCATTCCGTTGTAAGTATTAATTAAGAATATTCATCACCCGTTTTTGTCTTTTTAAACACATGTAAAATCTGTAGACTAACAAAGGCAGAAAATCTTCCACTCATTTCCTTTCTTATTAAAGCGTAGCCTGGTTGGCTGGACGCCGTTTTTAAGATGGGAGACATAGCAGAGATGCATATAACACCCGAGACTCCTGGAAGACCTGCTATCCTGAACCCGTTTGAGAGCCCAAACGACTACCACCGTCTGCATGAGCCTCTGGTGCCCAGCCCGTCGGTGTTCAAGAGCTCCAGGAGCTCATCAGCGGTGAGTGTCTGACTCCGCATATGAGGGGAAATCACGAAAAAGGAGAGAAACATCATTTCTTCTTGTATTGTTTGTTGTAGACACCAGCCAAGTTCAAATGGTCCATTGATGAAATGGCAAATTTACTTCCTGTGGAAATAGACCCAGAGGACATTCACCGCCAGGCTGTGTTTCTGAGCCAAGCCAGGTAACGTTATTAATGTTAGTCTGCTTATATGTAGTGTTTTACAACAATGTCGTTTTTTGTTAATATTTGTTCATATTCTCATGATACTCAATCCGAGCAGCTGAGTCCTTAGCCAGCTTCAAGAATCGGCTAAAAACACATCCCTTCCATCTATATTTGACCCTCTAACTCTAGCACTTTCTATTCTAATTCAGTTCTTAAAAAAAAAAACTTGCCCCTTTTAGACTTGCACTCTATTCATTTACTAACGGCTTGTTTTCTTTAAGAAAAACAAAACACTAGCTTCTCTAATCTTTTTGTATTCTATCTGTTTGTTTATTTTTTGTTTATCATGCAATTAGCAAAAGCAAAAAAGGCCTCTTAACACTAGCTTGCTCTATTCTTTTTCTGTTCTATCTGTTTTCTTTTTATTTATTATATAATTAAAAAAACTCAAGCAAGCAAACAAACAAACAAAAACCCCTTGCTATGTGTACTGTGTTATATAGGCTAGCTAGGGGTGTGTGATATTGACCAAAAATGATATCTCGATATTTTCTGGGATTTTATCGATAACGATAATTAGACGATATTTTGCTGAGTGTGTTATTGTGCTGGTACCTTAAGGACTGCCGAAGACAGCTGACTCCTAATGTTTTTAATATTCTTCATATTCTGTGCATTGGTCTGTTCATACTGATAGAAATTAATCTTTTCCAATAAGTTTAAACTGATTTTTGCATTTTTAAGGGCATTTTTACCTTTATAAAGCCATTTTTTCTAAAAGTGTCCATTATCTTTTGAGTCAAATTCTTACATTTAGACATTTGGGCTGTTACCAAGCAAATTAAATCAACACACAAGCTGCGTCTGAAGTGGCATTTGTCTTGAAAAAGTTCTGGGTAACGTTTTTTTATTAATTATTACTTCATTTCAAAATGAAGGCAAACATTATTTAGAATACACTACTGTTCAAAAGTATGGGGTCAGTAAGTAATTTTTATTTATTTTTTGGAAAGAAATTGAATTTTTTTCAATGTTGCATTACGTTGATCAAATGGTAAAGACATTTATAATGTTACAAAAGATTTCTGTTTTAAATAAATTGTGTTCTTTTGATCATTTTAATATAAAAAAACAACAGTTCCACAAAAATATGAAGCAGCACAACTGTTTTCAACATTGATAATAAGAAATGTTTACTGAGCAGCAAATTAGCATAATTAGAATGATTTCTGAAGGATCATGTGACACTGAAGACTGGAGTATTGGCTGCTGAAAGTTCAGCTTTACATCAGAGGATTAAATTACATTTTAAAATATATTCGCATAGAAAAAAGTTATTTTAAATTGTAATGTTTCGTAGTATTACTGTTTTGAGCAGATAAGACTTTAAAAAAACACTGTGACATTCTATATTTCTTCTAAAACTATTTAATCACCATTTTGCTTTTTTCTTATTAATACTTTGTATGCATTTTTTTATATGACCTGAGAAATAAGATTAAATATTTGTCCTTTTAAGAACTCATATCAGGGGGATTTGTAATGACAATAATATAATTTATAATAAGTAAATGGTGAAAATCGTACATTGTTTTATTCGTATTAAAACATGTCTTCAAGCTTTTTTTGCAATGACCACTTACTGTATATCCATAACCAGATGCCCTCCACAAAATCCTGAGAGTGCGTCTGACTGAGTACAATATTAGGTCAAATACAAAAAGGTTGTTTACAGTCTGACTTCAGATAACTTCATTCATCTTAAATTTTGGAGTGTCAGATCTTGTCTATTGATGATTTAAATGTGCCAAATATTAGCAACTTGAACAAACATTAACTTGAGAATTTCCTTTCTGTTGTAACAGGTGATTACTACAGGACAGAAGAGTTAACCGAGCAGGTGCAGGAGAGCCTCAGCTCCTCTTCATTGCGGCGGAAGTTGTTTCTTGATGGCCATGACAGCGGCTCTGAGTCCTCTACCCCTTCCAGCCCAGACAGATATTCCCATAACGTCCTGCCCAGCAGTCGAGAGATGATGTCTTCTGTTATTGTCTCTCCACTTCAGTGTGGCATTCCAACTGGGACGCCCTTGACTGTACGTACCAGATCATAGATGATGAAACTACAAGGGTGCAACTACACTCTTGTAGACCAGTAAAATATGGATCAAGGGTACTTTATATCTGAGATCTTTAAAATTGAATACTGTTTTATCCATAATCCTCAGGGCCAGTTTTCATCCAGTCCCATCCAAGGCCAGTGTCGAGCATACAGTCTGGGCAGTGTCGGAAGTCCCATGTTTTCAGAGAGATTGTCGCCTGTTTTCAAGTCTCCTATTCTGTCGCCCATCAGACTTCAGCATTCTGTGACGCCTGTATCAGGTGAGAAATCTGAGATGGTGCCAGGTGTTTTTTTAAATTTATTGTTGTATATATGGCTATATATGTAAGTGCAGGGGTTCCCAAACTTGTTTTTTTTTTTGTCAGCTGAACCACTTAGACATACAATTTTACTTGAAGTACCTTTTGAGAAGGTAATATTAATAGAGGTAAATATTTCAATAATTTAACACCATGTTCACGATTCTCTGATGTCGCATAATGGTCATATGACATGCAAGTAAATAGCTAAAATATTTAATCATTTTTTAAATTAATTACTTGCAATATAATTAATTAATTAGCTTTTCACCAACTCGTAGACCCCTGCTTGGGAAACCTTGGACAAGTATATGTGAAGTGCTATAAAACTTTGTCTTTATAGGTGAGAGGAAAAGGCTGTCGTTTCTGTCCCCCGATGGCATTCCCATGGGCAGCTCAGACATGGACCTGAACCGATGTGGAGAAAGCCCATTGGTGGAGGGTTGTTCCCCTATTCGAAGCTGCTCTCTCTTTCAGTCCCAACCCAGAAACAGAGCCTGTATGTGGGCCTCTCCTACTCAAATTTCCCTTATCCTCCACCCAACCCTCCAGGACAAGGAGAACTTCCATCCCAATGAACCTTTACCCACCATGGACCTGGACGCTAACTCAACAGGACCTCATGCCCAGCGAGAAGGACACCAATCTGGGGGGAGTGAGTCAGAGGCCTCCGTGGCTGTTTCTGAGCAAATGGATCAAGACGAGCAGTTCGTAAAGGACACTGGAGGAAATAATGAGACTGACAGAACGGAAAATGAGGATGAGGTCATCAGCAGGAGCAGAGAGGAATCCTGTGGTTGGGTTCCTGAAGAGGACACTGCGTCGCCAGTTAGACTGTCCAGCTCTCGAACAGGCAGTGTGCCTGACGCTGAGAGTACACACATGTTCGTATCCCTGCTAGCGGAAGGAAGCATTACACCATACGACATTAGCATGCAGGTTAGTATGCGTGCTGTCAGATGTCCAGAATGCCAGCTGCTCCAAAGTAGCCTCTAAACATTAGACAATTAGCCTAGATCAGGGGTGCCCAACCCTGCTCCTGGCGATCGACTGTCCTGCAAAGTTCAGCTCCAACCCTAATCAAACACACCTGAAGCAACTAATTAAGGTCTTCAGGATCACTTCAAAATGAAAGGCAGGTGTGTTTGATTAGAGTTGGAGCTAAACTTTGCAGGACAGTCGATCGCCAGGAGCAGGGTTGGGCACCCCTGGCCTAGATGAAGAGTCGTTCCAACAGTAGCCCAGCAGGTGTAGCTGACATAAAACCACTGCAAAACTGGCCGTTGACAGCTGATGCTTTACTGAATCTCTTTAGCTTTAGTTTGCCATAAAATGTGACAAGTGAAAAGCTTTAAATATTTCTAAAGCATAAACTTAAAATGTCAAAACTTTAAGCATAATATCCGTTCTTTATATACAGTAAATCTATTCATTATTATCATTTATTTTAAAATTAATATTTAATTTTATATTACTATAAAATGCATGCTTATTCCTAAAGCATAAACTTTAAAGGGTTAGTTCACCCCAAAATGAAAATTCTGTCCTTAATTACTCACCCTCGTGTTGTTCGAAACCCGTAAGACCCGCGTTCATCTTCGGAACACAATTTAAGATATTTTTGATGAAATATGAGGGCTCTCTGACCCTCCCAGTCTACTTCGTAACTTTTCAGTTGAACCACTGATGTCACACGGACTACTTTGTCGATCATCTTGGTACTTTTCTGGATCTTGAACGTGGTAGTTACCTTGCTGTCTATGGGAGGGTCAGAGAGCCCTCAGATTTCATCAAAAATATCTTAAATTGTGTTCCGAAGATGAACGAAGGTCTTACGGATTTGGAACAACACGAGGGTGAGTAATTAATGACAGAATTTTCATTTTTGGGAGAACTAACACTTTAAGAATAATCTCTCTATTATTATCATTACCTTTATTTAAATGTTAATATTATTCAATGTATTTAATATTATAAAAAATGTTTGCTTATTTTTAAAGGACATACTTAAAATGTTTAAAGTTTGCTGTAGATAAAGCATACATTTCAAAACATATTTAAAGATTGTGTAAACATAAATATAAAAAAAAAATATATATATATAGTAGCACTATTTAATAATATTGAGACTAAAATGTAGCCTAATCATTATTACATATTATTGTTACCGTAACTAAGTTTATGCTTTATAAATCTTGCAAGCTTTTATGATGGAATTGTGAACTACGGTTGAGCTAATTTTGAGGTTTAATGTGTCCCTCATATTCTCTGCAGGTGGATAGCGGTTATAACACTCACTCAGTGTGCACTACCAGCTTAATGGACACCCTCAGTTCAGACAGCCAGAGTAAGGACATGCTGGACACACACACTGCTGAAGAAGGTGTACCTTTCACTAGACACACTAAACCAAAGGTAAAGTCTTTCTTTCTCGCTCTCTTGCACTCACACTCACACAAAACAACAGGAAATTCTGTACTCTCTCTGTAACCAATCATCACATTTTAATACTTCATTCAGCTGTATTGTGGCGTTCGTTTTTTAGCTTTAGTTTTGCACACTCAAAATATTCACTTTATTATATTTTGTACTTAATGATAGTATGCACTGTGCATAACCACACTAAGAAATGTTTTGTTCTGCAGTTGTTCATCCTACCGCACTGAGCATGAGGGACAGAACATGCACTTTAAACACTCTTACCCCCAAAGCTGTGGAGGAAACGCACGGCACATTTACACATCAAGCTGTATGGTGCTCATATGAATTCTGAATACTGTGGTTGGTTTTACTGTCTGAGCCTTGTGAAAGTTTTTGTACGGACTAATCTACAGTATTATTTATTCTTGCTCCAAAAGTTAAATGACTTTGGGACTGAGAAAACTTGAATTAGATTTAAGATTATGTATAGGTTTTACTGCTTGTGAAAGGTTGCTTTCAATTACTTGTGATTTGTTAAAAGAGGGTGGCAAGTATGTAACCATTTCCTCAAGCTGTTTTTATAGGGCCTTTGGTTTTTTTAGTCTTAAAATTATTTATGAATTAATCAATCACTAACAAACATATGGAGATACCAAAAGGTATACATATTATGGTGACGTGTGTATCTGAATTGTAAAAAAAAAAAAATGTCTGGATTAAAATTGTGTCCTGTGACCGCAGACTTCATCTTTGTTGTCATCTAATATAAATCTCTAAACAAAAAGTAATCACAGTGGAATATACCATTGTTTTAGTACACAGCTGATCTGGCCACATGGGGCAGTCGTGACCTAATGGTTAGAGTCGGACCGAAACTTGTGGGTTTGAGTCTCAGGTCCGGCAGGAATTGTTGGTGGGGGGAGTGAATAACCAGTGCTCTCTTCCACTTTCAATACCACGACTGAGGTGAGACCCTTGAGCAAGGCACCGAACCCCCAACTGCTCCCCAGCAATATGGCTGCCCACTGCTCCGGGAGTGTGTTCAAGGTGTGTGTGTTCACTACTGTGTGTGTGCACTTGGATGGGTTAAATGCAGAGGACAAATTCTGAGTATGGGTCACCATACTTGGCCACACGTCACTTCACTTTTATAAACTAGTCCAATCCATTTAACATGTACTGACAGCTGATGTGTGCTTTGCCATTCTTAAAGGGAGCAAAAGGGATATAGCACAAGTTTGTATAAAATGTAAAGTTTTTCTTTTTGGAATGCTACTCGTACCACAATATTTATGATTCCATTGTCATGGAAAACAAGGGAATTTTATGATTTCTAGGTCTGAAATGGAAAAAAAAATCATGGATTACTTTTAATTATTCTGTTCTATCCTAAAATAAGATATCCTAAAATGTTCAGGTTAATCATGTATTAATGTAATATATATTCTTGGCTGTATCAAGTAATTCTATACTATCAAATCTGATTCTACACAAATTGTCAATGGCTCTGATTCTCGTAAAAGGTTGTGATAGTCTCTTGAACTCCACAATGTGTTCATGTGGATTGTATTAAAAATAGTTTTTAGCCAAATGTTTTTTTGAACGTTTGTTTTTATCAATGAAGTTAAAAATCACACCAGTGTCAACTTCAGAATTAAATGTTAAATGTTGGGGTTTGGCATTTTGGTTTTAAGTCACAGAAATTATTTGATCAGAAAGCGTGGCAACCCCGAATATAACAAGTTGGTTTTCTGAAATATAATTCCTGAAATATCACACTTATCTCTGTGAGAGCCCATTTCAAATGTTTGCATTCACTGGACAAAACATGTAACTGAAAAAACAGAATTTCTTTAAAGAAGTCCTTTTAATATGTTCTGTTTTCAATAAATTTCAGATTTGAAGGATGACGGAACACTATTGCTCAAAGAGAATTTCTAATAATTCCACAGTTTGTCTCAGACTATATAAAAATGCTGCATTAGCAAGTTAAAATGTAGACAAAAGCAAAAACAGGACTGGTGTACACTGATTAAAAACAAATACTCCTTTCATGTCAATTTTTTCCACTTATGCATTCACTCATGTTACCCTTGTAGATGAACTGAAAGGCTTTTCATTTAATTTTTGCTTTTATAATGAGTATTAATGTTGGGTCTTGGTGTACAAGTATCAGCAGTCAAGCTTGGGTTTTTTGGCCTCTGGTTCGGACTCAGGCACAGGTACACTAACCCCAGGGATCTGAAAAAGACAAAAGTTTTTAAAAACCAAGGGGAGATACCACCACAAATAAGCCATAAACTATGGGGACATAAGGGATAAATGACAATGTACACTCAGATAAAAATAAATAAATTATTAAAATCAATTTATTTTAGTCCATTTATTTACTTATTTGCCAAGTTGTTGTGTAATAAATCCCTTAATTATCCTAAATCAGTGTTTCTCAACCAGGGGTCCGTGGACCCCTAGTGGTCCTTGACGTAAGGCCAGGGGGTCCGTATAAAGTATGAATTTTTGTATAAATTTTGTATATTTTGACATGACATATTTTGACAAGAAAAATCCAATATAGCTGATGATATGGCCAAATACTGGACAAGTCAGCTAACTTGAATTATACTTGACTGTATTTGGTCCTCACAAAGACACAAATGATACATAGAGGAGTCAATTTTGTTCTGGGGGTCCTTGAGGATGGTTCTGAATTGGACTGAGGTCCGGTACGCCAAAAGGTTGAGATTCACTGTCCTAAATGATGGTCAAGATTATATAAAACACCTTCACTCCGTGCCAGAGTCCTGATTGGCCTAAAGAGGTTTATTTAGCGATAATGAGGTACTTATTAAACATAAATCATATAAACTAGTTCAAATTATTACTGTAAGAAGAAATTGGGAATTGATTCAAGAGGCATGAAACTTGCACAGCGTAGGAGACTGGTCAATCCTATAATTTAGAAGTTAGTTACAGTACAAAAATAATTGCGGCTGTGATCGACCAGTCAGAATCATTTCAGAAACCCATGTAATTATGCAGTTGCAGTCTCGCAATAAAATAAAAAAAAATCTAGAAAGCAAAAACATACCACCGGTTCAATGAGCGCCATTCTGATCCTTTGATGCTGTATGTTGGAAGCGTCCAGGCTGATTGTTACTTTAACTTTGTCAAACATGCGGAAAGTGTGTTCCTCCACTTTGAGTGTAGGACCCTGAGGAGAAAAAAAAACAAACGGTTCAATCACGGAACATTCATACGGAATCATGCAACATCTCACGAATATGACCTGTAAGCCTAATACTGCCTGGCTGTGCAGACTGATATCAAAGTCAGTCCGTACCTCAGAGTCAAAGCTGAGATGAGGACTGGGTTTGTCCTTGTTGTCAAAGAACACAGCGCCCTCCAATCCAAATTTAGGGATAAGGATGATGATGGCATTTTTTCTTACAAAAAGAATGAAGCCTTCCTCGTTTATGATTCCCTTATTCTTGAAGAATAGCTGAAGGGTTAAGATGAAAGACACCATATATTAAAAAATTGCAACAATTATTCCATAAATCATAAAAGTCAGGCTTTTTTGGTGTTTGCACTACCTGAGTGTGGAACGCCACTGAGGCTCTCTGTGCATACTGGGCCATTTTGTGTCTGTAGTTGAGGTTGTTGCATAAGGCTGACTGCTTATGCTTGTCCATCAAATCTGGGTACGTACTGTCTGCGTTAATAGCCACTGCTAACAGACGGTGAACTATGATATCAGCATATCTACAAAGTCAAAAAAGCATAAATGTTTAGTTGGGGGATGGGGGGGGTCAACATGTGAATGGGTTAAGAAATGTTGACGCACACAAAAAAATAATGACGACGGTAATCCATAAGACCCCAATGGATGAATCAATGTCTTATATTTTAAACTTTTTAACTATAAACCATTGGTTCTGGCCAACTGTCATACACAGATTCAAGAGATGGTCGAGTTCATGCTTGATTCAAACCTAAGTGCTTTGTGAAGCCTGACACAAATGTATTGTGAAGCTTACGCAAGAAGTGATGGTCCTCCAAAACGGAATGAAGGTATGGAAATTTGTTGATCAAAAACAGTGCAAACTCTGAATATCACGAAAGCCCATTTCAAATGATTATCTTTACTGGACAAAACAGTGACAAAACTGGAATTTATTTTGAAAAGATAAAATAAAAATCAATACTGATAAGCAAAAGTAATACTGATGTTCTATTTTCACTGAAAATTATTCTTATATTTAAAATGACAGAACCCAATGGCTCAAATCGAAACTGATAATTTAAGTTCGATTGTTACTTTAACTTTGTCAAACATGCGGAAAGTGTGTTCCTCCACTCTGAGTGTAGGACCCTGAGGAGAAAAAAAAACAAACGGTTCAATCACGGAACATTCATACGGAATCATGCAACATCTCACGAATATGACCTGTAAGCCTAATACTGCCTGGCTGTGCAGACTGATATCAAAGTTAGTCCGTACCTCAGAGTCAAAGCTGAGATGAGGACTGGGTTTGTCCTTGTTGTCAAAGAACACAGCGCCCTCCAATCCAAATTTAGGGATGAGGATGATGATGGCATTTTTTCTTACAAAAAGAATGAAGCCTTCCTCGTTTATGATTCCCTTATTCTTGAAGAATAGCTGAAGGGTTAAGATGAAAGACACCATATATTAAAAAATTGCAACAATTATTCCATAAATCATAAAAGTCAGGCTTTTTTGGTGTTTGCACTACCTGAGTGTGGAACGCCACTGAGGCTCTCTGTGCATACTGGGCCATTTTGTGTCTGTAGTTGAGGTTGTTGCATAAGGCTGACTGCTTATGCTTGTCCATCAAATCTGGGTACGTACTGTCTGCGTTAATAGCCACTGCTAACAGACGGTGAACTATGATATCAGCATATCTACAAAGTCAAAAAAGCATAAATGTTTAGTTGGGGGATGGGGGGGGTCAACATGTGAATGGGTTAAGAAATGTTGACGCACACAAAAAAATAATGATGACGGTAATCCATAAGACCCCAATGGATGAATCAATGTCTTATATTTTAAACTTTTTAACTATAAACCATTGGTTCTGGCCAACTGTCATACACAGATTCAAGAGATGGTCGAGTTCATGCTTGATTCAAACCTAAGTGCTTTGTGAAGCCTGACACAAATGTATTGTGAAGCTTACGCAAGAAGTGATGGTCCTCCAAAACGGAATGAAGGTATGGAAATTTGTTGATCAAAAACAGTGCAAACTCTGAATATCACGAAAGCCCATTTCAAATGATTATCTTTACTGGACAAAACAGTGACAAAACTGGAATTTATTTTGAAAAGATAAAATAAAAATCAATACTGATAAGCAAAAGTAATACTGATGTTCTATTTTCACTGAAAATTATTCTTATATTTAAAATGACAGAACCCAATGGCTCAAATCGAAACTGATAATTTAAGTTTGTCAAATTGTACAAAACAGTGCATTAGCTAGTAAAAAAAAAAAAAATTAATAACATTACTTTGTAAATTGAATAAAAGGAAACTAAAAACCCTTTCATGTCAATTTTGTATGTTTTAAAGTCCCCCTGCAGCCACTAATTTTATCCCAACTCATCTTCGATAACCAAAATGATATATTTTGGCATCATATGAACTCTTCTAAAAAATCTGTGTTCATCTGAAGAATGAATGGTATACGTCTGGGTTGGCATGAGGGGAAGAAAACCATGTGAACATTAACAGAACCCAATGGCTCAAATCGAAACTGATAATTTAAGTTTGTCAAATTGTACAAAACAGTGCATTAGCTAGTAAAAAAAAAAAAAATTAATAACATTACTTTGTAAATTGAATAAAAGGAAACTAAAAACCCTTTCATGTCAATTTTGTATGTTTTAAAGTCCCCCTGCAGCCACTAATTTTATCCCAACTCATCTTCGATAACCAAAATGATATATTTTGGCATCATATGAACTCTTCTAAAAAATCTTTGTGTTCATCTGAAGAATGAATGGTATACGTCTGGGTTGGCATGAGGGGAAGAAAACCATGTGAACATTAAATTTTTAGGTCAACTGTTCCTTTAAATTGATTCAGTGGTCCAGTGCGTCTCACCTTCTGATGGGTGATGTGAAGTGTGTGTAAATGGGTGATGCCAGGCCATAGTGGTGGAAATCACTGTCCATGCCAGAGCAGAAATACACGGCCTGCATCATGCAGCGGGTGGCCAGAATCCTCAGCAGGGTGTTGAAGTACGGAAAGTTCTCAACTGTCGCATTGTTCAGGGAATCAGCCAGAGCTTTGGCTGAATCTGTGTGGATGTTGAGGTCCTGGAAAAAAAGAAAACAGCAAGGAAAAAATTCAGAATGCCTCAAACATTTAAATATGGGGGATGATTATAGGTCTCTAGGTGGGTCGTAGCATGAAGAAATTTGGGATGCACTGACACAATAGAAAAGACACTCACTGGTCACCACCTACTGGTGTAAAAGCCCTGATATACTCAAGGCGAAGGTCTTTTTTGTTTGTCTCTTAAATGTTTGGAACAGCTGTGCAACGGTCTCGAACATTCTGACACTATCCATGATGCTGACAATGGTGTTTAGATGTGCATGTAAATATGGGCTATACTCTTTTTCTCAATAACACATCAAACACGCACACAAAAAACAAGAAATAACAGCAGTTCAGAAAGCATCTGCTAATAGGGATAAGCCCTGCAACTCAGCACTCCAGTGTTTTCATGTTTTTCACTCATGTCTATCCTCAACGGATAGAGTGAACAGAACAAGTGCACCTGAAAAGATTTCCACTTGTCAAAGAAGGTGGAGCCCCAGCCAGAACACACACACCTATTTCACAATCGTCATGGACCAATAGCAGTTCGAAGGCATTTAATATCCGTGAAGTTCTCTAGAAAGTTTATGCTGGTGAGCAGTTTTGAACCACTGAAATAAAATCCAAAACACCTTTGTTTTTGCCAAATCTTGTTTGAAATATCTTCGATTTTGCTTGAATTAAATCAGAGCAAAAATTGTCCCTGAAAATAAATTCTAGGGGTCCAATGTTGTCCTTAACTAAATTCAAAAAATATGTCTGACACTGGCTTGGTTTAATGCTGGGGTTTGTAAACTTGGTAAGTTAGTGGCATGGGTGTCGCTAGGCCATTTTTAGGGGGGGCTATAGCTATTTTGCGATTAGCTCCATAAACTGTACACGAATTCGTGATCGCCTCAGTCCCCTTTAAATTTCATATGAAAATGGTGGCAGACTTCAATCGGCTCCTCCCCGTCTTTCTGCGCGTTCTTTTTCAATCAGCAGACAGCAGCGGCGCAGAGCGAGAAACAGAGGACAAGGTGTGTGTTTAACGATAGATTGTTGTAATATCTGCATCTGTGCAGTTTTGTTCTTTGTCATAAATACGGTTTACAAAATAGCAATCGGTTGTAGCCTAAGTTTTCACTGCGTTCACCCCTCCTCACACCACAGCTGTTTCCTCCAGTGAAAACGAAGCTCATATGAACGCATACTGTATAAAACGATCATGTTGCCATTTTCTTTTTAAAATTTTACTTTCAATGTAATACATTTTTCAGTGCATGTGGCAAAGAGGTTTGCATACTTGAGCTAAGGAAAGAGGGTTGTACTATGTGTGTAGCCTACAGTAAACTGTGTGTGTGTGTGTGTGTGTGTGTGCGTTTTTGTGACAAATGAGGACATACATTTGTATAATGACAAGGGTATGACATAGGTATTACAAGGAGAAGGTGACTTTTCAGGACATTACCCCATGTCCCCACTTTTCAAAACGCTTATAAATCACACAGAATGGAGTGTATTGAAAATCTCAAATAGCACAAAGTCTCCTGTGAGGGGTAGGTTTAGGGGTAGGGTTGGTAAAGGGCAATAGAATATACGGTCTGTCCAGTATAAAAACCATTACGCCTATGGGATGTCCCCACTTTTCACAAAAACAAACCTGTGTGCGTGTGTGTGCGTGCGTGCGTGTGTGTGCATGTGTGTGTGTGTGTGTGTGTGTGTGAGAGAGATCATGAAGACTTGTATTTGGCTTATTCAGTTATATGTTATACCTATCTATGCAATACAGTGGAATCTTTTCTTCAGTATTGTGACATATACATCTACATGTAATGGATTACTGAAAAAATATATAGAATGTAGGACAGGACTTGGTTCTACTCATCAGTTTTTGACTGGATTTTGAGATGTAGGCGATGCATGAGGTTGATCATGCAGGGACAACTAATATCTTTCATTTTGCCAAACTGATTGCTCACTAAAAAACTCACACATAATGTTTTCAAGTCATTTCAAGTTCCCCTTCGGGAACTCGAGCTGCGTCGGAAAACGCTAGGGGAACGCCTTCAGCGATACTCTGTTCCCACAGCTCTCGGCCCCGCCCCTCTCGTCACAGTGACGTCATGACCAGGAAGCTTTAAAAGCACGTGAGGTGCCACCGGCGCTAGCTTTCTGTCATTCAGCGAAGCTCTCTGTGTGTGTCGGTCACGATTTATGTTCTGTGAGTCTTATTTATTGTTGTCTGTCCAAAGTCTATAAGCTCCAGCTATGTCTAAGCTCATGCAAGGACAAAGCATTTCAAGGCGAGAGCAGGCCACGTTGTAGGTTGTGTGTTCCTCCCTGCCCAAAGATAAAGTTATATCACGAGTGGGGACACACACAGCCTGTGCGTGGTTTGCTTGCGAGCGAAGCATAGTTGTTACTGCCTTGCTTCGCTCTCAGAGGGCTCTCTTTGAGGAGGGAGCTTTCACTAGCGTTCCTCGCGGTGCCGGCCCCGCTTTCGCCGAGGCGGAGCGGCGGCTGTGCTCGTGGGTTTCGCGTATGGATCTGCTAATCACCAGATCCAGCGCCCGCTCTCGGGGTTCGGAAGCCCGCGCTGCGGTACTTCCCCCCCGGGGAGAGGGCGCGACGCTCCGCCTGTCTTTCTCCGAGGAGATTGATACGGAGGGCGTCAAAGAGCTCGCCAGTTGCACAAACATCAGTT